AAAAAAAAATCAACGAGCCATGAAATACTACTTTGTTTTATCACTAAGAACATATGGAATCCATCGGGCATCTCAAAGTTCTAGGCAGACAGTTCTAAACACAATAAAAATGGTAGATAAGCGGATTTAATTATAAAAACCTTTACATAGAACTTTGTTGCATTGCCAAAGAATGATGAAAATGTCTCATATTACGGGCCAAAATCAGGTTCTATATTAAAAAAATATTGGATTGCAAACGGGTATTCGTGTAATTAAATGTGTGATAAGCCTTTCTCCTCCAGGACTCAACGTCCATCTTCCATTTAGATTTTGACAATATGGCATTCAAATGTAGGATCAAAACCATCATTTGAAACAAAAGAGGTTTTGATGAGATTTAGGGAGATTTTGATAACTTTGACGATTACAATGCATGTATAAAATTAAACTTTTAAAAGAGCTTATATATGCCTCCTGATTATCATCATTATCATCACAAATTTGATGAATGCTTATTAAAATATTGATGAAATTCAATCTACAAATTATTTTCATGTTGCAAATCATAATCAACTATGTGCTCTTGGGCATTCTTGCAAATTATTTTCTTGCACACACACAATTCCTAGAAACAAAGGCTTCCATTTCAGTAAATCATATACACTTTTACAACAACAACAACTACTGCAAGGACGACAAAGCCTTTCTCCCACTAAGGGGGGTCGAGCAAGGACGACAAAGCCTTTCTCCCACTAAGGGGGGTCGACTACATGAATCCTTTTTCTCGAACGTGTCCTATTGAGTGCCATATTTTCATTTAATCCTGATAGATTAAGATCATTTTTTATACAACATGCCCGAGTCATTTTAGGTCTACCTCTAACTTTCTTACCAAAAGTCAAATCTAAAATATTTATTCTCTTAACAAGATCATCAGATGGTCGATGTTTAATGTGACCAAATCATAAAAAATGACAATGAAGCAACTCCAACCCTTTCATAGATAATATTCGTTTTGCACGTTTTCTCTAAGTGTAAAGCCACTCATCCACCTAAGCATTCTCATCTCAACAACGCATAATATAGTTTTATGCTTCTCTTTCATAGGCAGACATTCTGCACTATAAAACATTGCTAGTCTAACCGCTATCTTATTAATTTTCTCTTTAAGTCTAAGCAATACTTTTCAATCACACAAAAGGCCCGATGCATTCCTCCATTTCAACCATCCAACTTGAATTCTACTCATAACATACCCATCTACATCATCACTTTTTATAATAAACCCGAGATATCTAAAACGTTCACTCCTTTTAATGACTTGATCACCCATTGATACAACCGCGCCACTAGAACTACTACTACTACTAAAATTACATTCCATGCATTCAATCTTAATCCACTCAAATGAAAGTCTATAAACTCTGAAGTCCTCAAAAAAATTTAGCCATATACACTTTTACATTGAAACAAATCTTCAACAATCAACTATAAGTTCTCAAGCATATTTAACCATGTTTCTTAAATGAAATTTATTAAACTCGACTAAACTTCATTCAAACTCTAAAATTTGCCCAAAAGTAGTGCATTATCCCTTAAAATAATAGGTTTCTTGTTAGAATCATTTTGAATTGTTTGTCACAAGAAAAGTAGCCACATGTTTTCACTTTGAGACCTTTTATAAGAGGAATTGAGGGTAACAATTAAGAGTTGGTTAGCAAACTTAAAGTTTTTCGCAAAAGGCGTAAGGTCATTTATCTTCAATCCACAAAAAAAAATATGGCCTAAAAAATAAACATTACAAAGATTCATTAGAGTGCATCTCTCATCAAGTATGGAGTAGGCAAAAGTTTTACACCTTATTAGGAAAGAACACATCTAAACTAGCCCAATAAAGTGCCCAAACAATTAATACACAATTTTGCTTAAATATCATATCATTTGGGATTAGGTTAACTAAATGCAAATATAGAAATTTTTTAGGTCAAGTTTTAATAAAAAAATGCAACCTAAATCACATCCAAAAACGTTGCCTAAAACATAATGGTAAATACTCCAAAATAGTTTGTGTTCAAAGGCAAAAAGGGCATAGATGGTTTCATATGAGCTCGCCTTAAGATTATCATTTTATATCTCTTTGAGGCTCTTCATGTTGAATGATCTCATGATCTCACAATGCTAAATCGCTTGGTGAAGATATTCCATCCTTTAACAACTCAATTTATTCTTAAAACCCACTTCGTTCCATAGACTGGATATATAACCAATTTGGTATAAGTGGAGATAAGTTGTCTATTATTCATAAATAAACCAAGTGTCGTTATTATATTCGTATATAGTGATGAAATTCCTAAGGAACTCAAAATGGTTGGTTTAGTCTATCCATTTTGAATCTAATAGTATTTATGTTAGGATCCACTTGCAAGTTATGCATCCTAATATATTTTGGTGTTGGCATTATTGTCCCATGAATACACAAGTTTTGATGGTATGTTGGTACACATGCAATTATGGTAATTTTAAGGAATACATAGATCTAAGGCAATGAAAATGATGATTTATATGAATATATTATGCATTTTTTTCTATATTATTATGTAGAAAACATGTTTCTAATGTCTGCATCTAAAGCAACAAAATGTGTTCCCTTTTATTTTGAAAAGGCAATTAGGCTCAACTCTAAATTGCTGATGTCAACACAATCAGCTTTCAATCAACACACATGAAGTTCAAAATCTTTCAGAAGGTGTGAAATACAACTGACCACTCAATATTATTCCCTCCTTAGGATCAAATTTCATTGAATTCTCCCCACGATTGTCTCTATATTCCAGTCGTCTTCCAGCTTCCTTTTATTGATATCATTATTTGCAATATGAGGAGCGACTTTCGACCCACCTCTGCACAAGTATGAAGAAAATGATTTGATATTAACACTCAAATTCCAAGAAATCAGGTAAAGTATGACACATTTTAAAAGTACCCCAAATTTTTTATCTCCCGAAATTTGATCAAAATAATTTTATTAAATTATGTGCATGAAATCGAATAATTTCATATGAAATACTATATGTTAATTGTTAATGGATTAGAAAAATAAAAAATTTTGAAGTTATAAATTTATTTAACTAGATTAATCCCTAATTAGATCAGCTTGATCTTCTTCTACTATACCGACCCAACACTCTTCCGCCTTTTAATCCAATCATTAGGTCGATTAGGGCAGGTGAATTTTGTATTTCCCTTCAACCCTTCCTATTTCTTCTTCTCTCTCCCCCGACCTTCCCCTCTCATGTTCGTTTCACGCCTGACAGAAGCAGGCGATACCAACGACCCTTGCTACAGTGCAAGGGCCACGAGCTAGGTCGCGAACAGACAAACCGAGCAGCGTAAAGGGTTGCTGCAGCTCACGATCTAGGCATCCAGGACAATTTCTGTAAGTGTGAATTCCTCCTTCAAGATATTTGAAACTTTCATTTCCTTCTCCAGACTTCCGTTTTGACATTTGCCTCATTTTTCGTGGTTTCTCATTTTCTGCAGCCGTCGGAGGCTCCGAACTAGTGTCAGAAGCATCAAAAGTCCTTTGCAAGATTTTGTACAGATTTTAACACAAAATTGGCGAAGAGAAAGTGAAGATTAAGGTGTTTGGAAGTGTTGGAGAGAAATTTGGCAGTTTCAGACGAATCAATTATGTCAAAAAGCTCTTTTGAGGTATGTTTTGATGTTTAATGCATGTTTTGGGTTAATACATGTTTTAAGAAATCCTATGATGTCTACGAGCCTCAGGTTGTTTATAAAAGGCGGCGAGCTTGAGAAGAGCATATGATCACCAGTCGTAGGGTTGCTCCATGAAGTCGGGTAAAATAATCTTGTGCTAATTTAAGAATAATACACTTCTATAGATTTCAGATAATTTCTGATTTGACACACATGCATTTAAAATTTCGACCTATTGTAAAGGATATATGCAATTGAATGTATTAATGCATGTTTACTTCTCTTACGATACAAATGTTATGGTAAGATGCAAATGATTAAGCTTATGATATTAATTGACTGCATGTATTCATTATTATGCTTCATGCCTATGATACATATAATGTCTTATGCTTAATATAGTAATGATGATTTAAATGCCACAAGAAATGTCAAGGGGGTAGACTGCTACATGAGTGATTGCGCACATTATGCAAGAATGTAGTATTCTGACTCCTGATATTTATACGGGACAAATTTTGGGAATAATTGTAATTAGGCGATGACAGAAAATTAGGAAACTGTGTGTATCAGGTGGGGTCGTCGATAACCGCTATGTTGGGGGAAGTCGAACCTTTATCGATAGTTTATATGGCTTTTAAGGTAGGGTGACGACCCCTAATGAAAAAACAT